TATTGTAAAACTACTTACATGTCTTACTGAATTTTAAAATAGTTACTCAGAAGATGACGGTGGTCTATTTATGCAATTAAAACAAACTGCGTATACACAAGCATTTCTAATTACATTATTTTATATTATAATGATGCGTTATTATTATTATTTTAATAAAACTCGTAACGAAATGTTAATATTATTTAATTTTTATAGTAGGGATTAAAAAATATTCATGTGCTTATAAAGTAACGTAGCTGAGTTCAGCGGCTTCGTATCTATGTGTGGTAAACGGGAATCTTAATATGGGAATTCATAAACTCTTATATATTTTTATAGATAATATAAGATGTAAGCAACAAAATGGATGTATAGCAATGAGTAGTAAAACACGACTGTAAAAATCGAACTAAAAGTAAAAGAAACAAGTTATATAATGACTACTTACTGAACAAATATTTCATTGCAATGTTACCTCTAAGATTACAAATATTTTAAAGAGCGGTCCCCCGAAAGCAAGGAGAAATTGGTTTAGCCAAGCCTTAATACAATTTTGTTTCTTTTATTTTAAGTGAGTTTTTGTAACTCGTGTATTTATTTTTTTTGTTTTTATTTTGCCTGTTAAAATTATACTTTTTTGAAATGGACTTATCAAGATCTTTAATTTGTTACTCATATTGCTATAATCAAATAAAAAATGTTATACTTTTTAAGTGGCCTTATACATTTACCATATTAAATGCTATTGAAAATGATATAGCCAGTGTCACCCAGCAACATCACTAATGATTCTAATGATAATCTTTCGAAAGTTATAGTAGATTAAAGAAATTCACATATACATTAACCCTAATGACAACATTCTTTTTTTTGGGCAGTCAAGTATAACCTTATATTGAGGCAAAATGACATAGTTATTAGAAGGTATTTGATTCGTATTGTGAACAGATTCTGTAGTTGGCATTGAATTTTATGTTTTAATAGCGAAATATATGTCAATTTATGCTTCGAATAAGAGCGTTATTAGTATGTACACTACTTAAATGTTTTTGATGTCGTCAACTATCGACACGTATTTATTAATTGTTTCTAACAACAGTACTAACGCTATTGATTGACAAGATTTCAATGCCGCGTAAATTATTAGTTTTTAATAATCACATTACCAGTCTCTTCATGTCCCCACTCCTGGTGCACAAGCCTTCCACTTCCCATCAAATAGAATGGGCAATGACCCACCATGCGGGCCCAATGAAGATTCCTAAATAAAAGACTACAGTTGCAGGCGGGACTAACAGCTTAATGTGCCTTCTGAAACAAGGAGAAGCTCGTGATATTACTTTTTGGATATCCATCCCATGACCGGCCTTTGCGAAAGTTTTGAATCGTATTGCAGACCAAATAGCGGTAGTTTTTAAGAATTTTTAATACTAGTGAATTAATACAAGTAAATAAGGTACTGTCGCCTAATAACGGCCACTGATTTCAACCGCTGTACGCGTAGCATGACAAACTCGAGAAACGTTTTGTCTACACTCATTTGTCAGTTTCTCGGGCTGAGAGTGAGATATAGTATTAGCGCACCCGAGAAAAGTTACATTTGAGTGTAGACAAAACGTTCCCGAGTTCGTCAAGCTACGCGTACTAGCATATATTTCAATAATAGTCCCACACAGACAGATCTTTGAGGACGGTATAATGAAATTTGTAGCTATAATAGATGATTCTTAGCGCTTTAACGGTCAAAAACAGTGAGCATTAGTAGGCGACAGTACCTTATAAAAAACTGCTGTGTACATTGCATGTCATGCGTCTACAAAAGAATAAGTTTGTATAGAAGGCTATGTGTTACTGACTTATAAGTTTCAGACTTTTATTTATCGTACTGTGGTCTGAAGTTTAAATATATTGACGCTAAAGCAATAACGTAGTAACCAACGTAACCAAAATTGTTCTCCAGAGAAAAAAACTATTTATTAAAAAAAATATGGTAACTAAAACGTTGGTAACTAAAATAACCTAAGTTGATTAATATGGAAGTAAGATTAATTTTTCGAAAAATTATAAATAATCTGCTATGAAAAACAATTTTATGCGTTTGCTTGCTAGCGTCGATATGTCAACAAAATTTTTAATTAACTATATTTTGAGGATTTTAAAAATATAATTATATTTTATTGGAACACCTATTATAAAAAAGCTTAATTTTAATAAATTATCGTTTTGAGCATCCACAACTTTTTAAATATGTTGACGTAAATCATCGAACCGCTTTTTTTCTGATTCCGTGAATTTACATTAAATCTACAAAGTTAATTAACATTAAATAACACAAAAATACGTAGTATTGAACAAAAGAGCAAGCAATTAATTAACATCACAAAAACCATCCAACTCTATAACTTTATTTAAAAAAAAATAAGTGGTAAGATTCGAGCGCTTTAATCACTTAATTAATTATAACCATCAATTTGAATTTGTCTGATAAAATATATTTGGTTTTTATTTTATTATTAAATTAAATCATAGAAATGAAAATACGCATTTGATTTTGGTTTTCTTTGCTGACATGAATATATAATTAAAATATTTTTGGTATTTAGCACAACGCTTCTAGTTATCACGTGATATTGAGTATATAAATAAGTATTTCTCTGACTGCATCAGGTATTTAAACATATATGTTAAGTATTTACGTGAGTACCTAACCAACCTAAACAAACGAGCAAACACTATAAAAAAAAAACAATAAAATTTAGTTTTATAAAGTGTTTAAAAATAATCTCAAAAACATGTATACACTACTTATTGATGCAAAAAACATCGCGAAGATAATGTCTTCGAAAAAAAAATCTAGGCTTAATCTAGGTCAAAAATTAATACAAAATCTACAAAGAGTATATTTACATAAAGATATTAAAAAGTATAATCTATGTACAAAAAGGATATTATTCATAACACTCGTTGAACATTGAAATTCCTTCTTTCGGATTTTGAATGAACGCCAAGTAGGCTATATTTTGTTTTGTTATAAAAATAAAATTACTCATTGGATTCGATAAAATTTAAATGGGACCACCTCGGTAAATTAACTTGTCGAATGTAAAAATAATTTTGAAAATCGTTTCATAATTGGGTTCAAGGTCCAGTACCAATCATGTTCTAATTTCAATCGACAACTACGTTTTTTGTATTGTCTTGGGTCACTGTTGTTACAATAGTGATTGCTTCGCGATAGTACATCGTACAATCGTTATACTACTGTAGTGTCGAGAATCTGTCGAATTATTTTATCGATATCGAAATTAATGTCATCCTTGACCAAAACGATCGTCAAAATAAAATAAGGTTATTGCTAAAATCGATGGTGTCAATAATATTTAACAAAGAATTAGTCATCATCATCATCACCAGCCCTTTTACGTCCCCACTGCAGGGGCTCAGGCCTTCCTTATGGATGGTTAAGGAGGATGGGCCATGACCCTCCACGCTGGCCAAATCGAATTGGATTAACGACTGCAAATGTAACCGGGACCAACGGCTTAACGTGCCTTCCAAAGCACGGAGTAGCTCGAGATAATAAATTTTTGGTCATCCATCCCGTGACCGACCCTTGCGAAAGTTGCTTAACAATAACGATCGCGGGCCGTGGCACTTATCCTCCACGCCACCGAGCTACTTTAGTACCTATTATAGTATCTTGTGGTTGTGGGAAATCCACAGGTTTAATGACAGATTTTAGATAACATGAAGCTGCGTTTATACAAAAAATAATTATATCGAACCGATAAGATGTCGCGCAGATAACGCGGCAAACGCGTTACTGTAGTCGGTAGTAAATAATAATAATTGTTCTCGATTGACTATTGACTAGGTATGACATCGAATGACAATTGAATGTTGATATAGTCTCAAAGCTGTATAGCAGGGGTGGCCAACTTGTTTAGACCCAAGATCGATTTTCACTGACGACACCCAGTACGATCTACCAATGACTTTACTTCTTAAAATCTTAAATAAAACAGCATAGTTCGTACACAATTATGTAGCATTTTGATTTTATTTACATTTTTTGATTTGCCACGATCGACTGGACTAATAGTCGGGATCGACTGGTTTGCCATCCATGCTCTAAAGTATAACAATTGTACGATGTACTATCGCGAAGTCACTATTGTATCACTATCTATCACTATTGTAACAACAGTGATCCAAAACAATACAAAAAACGTAGTTGTCGATTGAAATTAGAACATGATAGGTACTGGACCTGTAACGTCATGATAACAAAACAATATTTTCGTCTATATAGTTTCATGTCTATTCCGTAACGCCTAATCTTCGTATAGTCTTGCACTTTAAAAATCGAAATTTGTTATATTTTGCGCTGTCTTGTCTTCGGCCCTGCTCTAATTTGCGTATTTTTAATATCATCAAACGAATGAAAAAAAGGTTCTTAATTCGACTGTATGTTTTTGTTGCGTGTTTGTTATGCGATTACGTTAAAAAGCAGTTAATTTTTTTAAGAAACATTAAGGTTGGGTGGTTATCATTTAATAAACTACAGAAAACCTCAGCCCGATTAAATATGTTTAATTTAACCGCCTATAATATAAGAATTATTTTTCACTTTTTTTACTTGAGTTGGTTTTATTTATTGAAAAAATTTTTTAGAGTACGATGAAGTTAACGATATATCGAAAATTATTTTCCAAAGTACAATTGTACAAAATGTGCAGATAAGCCGTATATAAAAGAAGAAGAACCCCAGAGGTTTGGTGTCAGTGGTGTTATAGCTATCATATGATTTGCCTTTATCTTTGTTCATCTAAAAGCGAGTAAAGAGGATGAATACTTTATTAAATGTTCTTGCACTGGTATGATTAAAATGAAAATGGAAGTTTATATTGTCTAAGAAAACATATAATTGATGATTGATTAATCTTTCTATAACATTAAATCTAAGCATAACTCGGCAATATAAATAAACAATTAAAATACTTTTAAATTTGTTGCAGGTATCCAAGGAATAAACACGCAAACAGAAACAATGCCGACATCAGATTATATTGACTACACAACAACAGAAAGTGTTACTGTAGATAGTCAACCAAGGACAGCTAAATCTGAAAACTTGAGCGATGAAGATGCATCTACAGAAACAAATGAAGAAAATATATCGCGTTCACAAGTACATGAAGTGGTACACGAAAGTCTAAATTCTGGTACTTTAGAGAGCGCTTCTAGAGTAATAATGCCGATAGAGGATAACCCATTACATGATATAACAAAAGAAGCTGTAGATAACAATCTTCTAGAATCTAAAGCAAATAACAAATTAATGGCTGATGTCATTACAAAAATAAACAAGAAAGCTGATAAAAGAGCTGATTTAAAACCTCATACAAGATACGATGAAGTTACTGGTGAATTGATTGGTGGTGAACATCCATGTCATAGAGAATGTATGGAGGGTGAAGAACCCATGATTTGCTACTACCATTTCAACTTGGAGTGGTATCATACTATGAGTAAAGCATGCTTTAGTTGTCCTTATAATGAAACAGACTGTAGAAAACCGGATTGTATACCTGCTGACGGAATCAGTAGAGCTTTGAATGTTGTCAATAGAAAAATGCCTGGACCTGCAATAGAGGTAAACCATCTAGACAAAATGAAATTTGTCCTATATATACGTATTTAATATGTATATTAAATCTAAATGGAAAATCTCGTAGGTTTGTCAGCACGACCGGGTGATCGTGGACGTTGAGAACGATCTGATGACTGAAGCCACTACAGTGCATTGGCATGGGCAGCATCAAAGGGGAACACCATACATGGATGGTACACCCTACGTGACGCAGTGTCCCATACCACCGGAGACTACTTTCAGGTAAGTTAAGTTTTCGGAGTGATAGGAAAAAAGTAACGCTCTTGCAAACACTGGCGTAGTTATCATATTCGTGTCTTATACTAAACGATTTCCTTATGGTATTTTACACTATGTAGAATAGAAGAGAAAAATCCATTAACACACACACACGATTACATATTTATCACAAAGAAAATAGTGATTATAATTCAAAGCACATTTTATTACGAAAAACTGCAACGTCAATTTTCAGCTGACTACTTCAAGTGGTGACGCTCTGCACAAAAATTGATCCGTCTATTGATACGGCATAACAATAAAAAAACTCTATAGTCTATCGAACGATTTGAAGTACAGGAGTAGGAGAAGGCGGTCGTTAACATGTTTGATTGTTAAGCGATATTTCCATCAACTGTATCTCAACTTAATTGACGTTTATCTAGATAGCTGTTGCGTATCAGTTATATTTCTGTTTTGATACAGATCTTGCTATTAGAATGCAAAATAAAAAAATATTAAATATCCCCGAAAGTAAACACAGCGAAGAAGGTCTTTATTTAAAGTGCCCCGTTTGACATTAGCGTTATATGAATCAAAGCCAACCAGGGCTTAGATCGGATGGGAAAGTTACTGATACATTGAATGTTTATTGATAAAAATTAAAGTTCTATAAATTATTGTACTATGAGACAAAATAAGCAAACTTTGAAACTAGATATTAAGACCATGCTTTTTTTAGATTCGTAGAACTTGAATAAACATTTTATACGTAGATCTTTTTTTGCATATTTTGTAATATAATCGCAATTACTCTGTAATTTTAAACAGTTTGTCTTTAAATTTGCTAAACTTCAAAAGTACTTGTAGTTTGATAAGGCAATGATGCTTCCTTCTCATACATATGTTATATATATATTAATGAATCTCATCTTATAAATATTTTAATGCATTATATATGTACTTTCTTTAATCAAGTTATTATTTTAACGGGGCTGTTAGTTATTTTTGTAAGCTTTAACGTGTGTAGCCGGCTTTAGTTAAAAATGAAATGAGATGCGCCGAATAATATTCGATTTAACCTTTACCGAACCGGATATTTGTCCGAATTATTTTGTTTACAATTTCATATTTTTATTTAGCCGGAGTGGAATATATTCGGCACCAAAACCGAATATTTCGGCTGAATACAAATAGTGAAAAGATACCGAATACCAAACGAATATTCGGCGCATCTTTAATAATGAATATAAACTGAATCTGCAGATATCAATTCAACGCGAGCCACTCTGGTACTCATTTTTGGCATTCACATTCCGGTATGCAGAGAGCAGATGGAGCAGCTGGTGCTTTTATAGTTAGGAAGCCCAAGTCTCAAGATCCACACGGTCCACTCTACGATTACGATAGGTAAGTGGCATTAGATTTTAACACAAAACATTATGATGGTGGTCAACTACGTTGGTCGGAGTACTAACCGATATCACTGGTTTGTGTCTATTGATAATTAGGATGTTACGGCAGCTTTTCCAGTATCGTCGTCAATTTTTTTTTATCTACAACGTAATTTACCCTAATCATATAGATATTGTAGAAAGCTTTGTACTGAATAACATGTCAATTATTTGCTTTTGTTGAAAAATGTTCTTCTGCAAGTAATAAATAGTGTAAATAAATGCATGTATTAGTCTTGCAAAAATTGATTTTTTCTAAAGAGTACTATTTGACAGGTGAAAATGACAGTTATTTTACATTGACACGATGGGGACGTATGGGGACTATGTTGATAATAATTTTCAAAATAGACTAGTTTTTTTTCGTGACTTTCTCACGTGGTGTTACTTTGAGCAGCATTTCTAAAACGAATATTTATTCATTATATCGTATAAAATACCAGACATTTATGATTTATCTTTGAAAATAACGAACTTCCATACAAACTGTAATTCCTTATTTCAACCCTTTTTTTCACAATAAAAAGGAACCTATGTCTTATCTCAAGTCAACTTTGTTTTAACCATTCTCCTTGTTACTCATTAGTTCATTTAATAAGAGAATATCAGACAATAACCGAAATAAATAGACTAAAAAGAGTGTAAATCACGATTGCTTAGTCGACTTTTAAGCTCATAGCTGTTAAAAGGATAATAAGAAAATTGGTCCAAGTATTGTAGCACTTTGATAAAAGATATACAGTCCACTAAAAATGACGACACTGCATGCGCTCTGGATACGACACCCCTTCGGCTGGTTTGGGAAGTGATTTTTTTAATTCACCATGGTATATAAAACTAAACTTAAGATCCACTAAAAGAACGACGTCACTGCATGCGTTCTGACTACGCCAAATTCTTTATTCACGATGTATGGCAAGATAAACTTATTATTCCATACATTTTAGTTAAAACCAATTTGATATGTATAGTAGCTTCGCCTCATTTTTATAAATAGATAAGGCAGGAATTATTAAGTTGAAACTAATGTGAAATTCAACAACTTGAGAAAGTACTCTACTGTCCTTTAAAGGTTTTCGGGGATAGTTAATCTCACTAGAACATCTCTTGCCACATACTTGCCTGTTGTACAGGTACAAGGGTTGTCATTCATATAAGTTACAACAAATTATGATTTGCAGGGTATTTAGGATTGATAGAGCAGACTCTTTTTTCACATATTCTGTGGATTACAAAATGTTTATTTTAGTTTTGCAGCTATAAATAAAAAAATATTACACTCGTATTGCCATGTCGATATTTATGTTAGAGAAATATAAATTTTGACATTTTCCGGTACCCGAAACAGGAGCATTTTGCTATCCCAGTGACTATGATTTTTCTATAAGATAGGTCAACAGATAGTAGTCTGAAGTCACTTTATATTAAGACTTCTGTGTGAAATAAAATAGGGAGAAAAACATCAGCCTTTTGCAGAGTTTCTTGCCGGTTCTTCTCAGTACAAGGTCTCTCGCCGTAGTTTTGCGAATAGATGGTGTAGTTTTTGACTTTCACTAGTGCTTGTAACAGCTTAGACTGATGAAAAAAAAGTATGGTTATCAGATATCCGATCCGGCCGGTTCGATCTAGATCCGGGTTTTACGTTAAAAAGATTGTTGAAGTTGTCCACGATCTTGTTTTAGTTTAGGCTGATAACCCTTGTTTACAGATGACATTTTTGTAATATATCACCGTTCGATGAGACAGGAATTTCATCTACTTAAGTCCGGTTTTAGTGGTATCAAGCGATTTCTTTAGAAAAAGAAGGGATGAACACTGTCTAGTAGGAACGAGATTAGTGTTTTCAAAGGGGTTAGTTAGTAACGGTACAATATAATTTCTCATAATCTTTTCTAAAGCTTTAAAAATTAATTTCCCTGAAAAAGCACATATCGCATTTTAATTCGAACATGACATTTATTTATAAAAATAGAATTAGCTATCGAGTCATAGAAAACTTACTGATTCAGATTTGTAAGGGTAATGTCGCTTTAAACTAATGATAATTTTAATGGGCGTTTGTGCAACTGCAAATTAGTATATTTACTTTGGATGAAATACTTTTGTCATAGTTCTTACTTAGCAAGGTACCCTAGTAGCCAAAGGATAGAAATTCAATTATCGTGCTATCACAATATTGCAGTGATTATAAAATAAAGGAAGCTTAAGATTTTACTTTTAGTTCGATAACAATTTTAAATTAAAACAGGACAGCCAGATTGTTTATGTTATCAAATATTGGTCGATTTATAAGGACTCGGACTTTGTTGGTTTCTTAAAGAAATTTATAGAAAATAATTTCCCGAATTCACAATGAAATTAAACCGACCCGAGACAATATACAGGAAGTTCGTTTTCTGTATTCACTTTGGAGATGGCGACACTCTGTACACCATAACTTATGGACATTCGGAGGTCATAGTTTTCCGTTTGGCAGAAATCATGGATAATAATAAATCCGGGGGGCTAACTGTCTTATTTTGAAATCTTTAGCGATCCCTTTAAATTTGACATTTGAAAGATAATCACGAACTTCACGCTGCAAGTAGAGAATGCAATCGTGCATGTTTAAAGATCTATCGCTTTGTTTAGACCATGGCACTGCCTAATCAAAGTTAAGATGCAACTATCTGTGAAAGCTTTTGAGAAATGTCAAACGAAAGTTTTGAATGCTTATTGCAATCTTTCGTCAGCTAGATATGTTTTTAACACGTTTCTTGATCATTCAAACTCTCATTACAGTCATTAAAAGTTACATAGATAGATAGATATACACTTTATTGCTCACACACAATTATTAATAATAGATAAACAATACAGGTACTAATGCTAGGGTGGGCAAAGGCGGTCTTATCGCTAAAAGCGATCTCTTCCAGACAACCTTTGATTTGTGTAACATTTGGATGGAAAAACCGGAGGTAGTGTGCCAATAGTACAATAGAAAAAAAAGCCAATAATAATATAATGAGAAAATAAAGTAGTGTGATAATGAAGGTAAATTGAACAAAAATGAGAATTACAAGGTAATCAATATATTATATGTACAAATCCAAAAGATGCTTATGCAATTTAGTTTTGAAAATGGCAACAGATTTTGCATGTCGAATAGCAGACGGCAGCTTATTCCAGAGCACAGCAGCTTTAATGGTAAAGGACTCATGGTAGTATCCCGATCTAGTATAAGGAATCTCCAGCACATTATCCGCCCCAGACCGCAGCTCGCGATTATGATTTGCGCCCAGAAATCGGATTCTATCACAATCACTATACATTTGAAAGTGATTGCAATAGATTTTGAAATTAGACAATTAGCCCACAGCCCCGTTGCTGGACCTGTGTTAATTACACAATTCTTTCTTCCTCAGATCTGAGCACATAATGATAGTGACCGACTGGATTCACGAGCTATCTGTCTCCATGTTCACTGATCATCACCATTCGATCGGTGACAACAAACCACCAAACTTGTTGATCAACGGATTGGGACGATTCAAATACTTCAATGGTAGCTCCAAGCCTATGTTCATGAAGGCTGCCAGGTTCAACGTTGAACAGGTAAAAATCAAATATTATAATCAGTCTTGTATGTTTTATGAGATGGCATAACTTAGTTGTAACATAATTTGTTGCGTTTAAAGAATTTTTTGACTAAGATTTAATGCACATTGATGCTGATGAAACGGTACAGTGTTTGTACAGCTAACTGCAGTAAAACGCTATTATCGAAAAGCGTACAACAAGATACAGAAGAGGATACTCTGTATTGATCGAGCTGTATGGTAGACGTTACGAGAGAAGCTAATAATAAGAATAGCTGAGCATACAATAGACAAGAATCGAAATATTAAAAATCAGAAGACAAAAATTGCATGCAAGATAGAACATAACTAAATAGAAAATATAAAAAAATCTCAGTGAAATCAAAAGCATTGATTTAATGATAAAAGCTTTCAGGTTCCAAAAAGTTAAATTGTTACTTGTAGAAAGCAATCGATGGTACCAACAAAACAAATAAGGATGAATTGATTTCATATTACACGTGTGTGTGTGTGTTGTGATATGTTTATGTTCTTTTTTATTTTGCTCTTCAAAATACGTTTATTTGTTTAAAATATAGTACTAATACTATTGAATCATTATGTAAGTATTTAGTAAACAAAAAGAAATCGCGAACATTAGTAAATTAACAATTCAATTTGGTTCAATTCAATTCAAGTGCAGGTGCAAGCCATCGAAAAGTACGGAAAAACTGATTAAAAACTAATTATTTTGGCTGTGCTGTTGGGGACGTGGATATGAAGATAAAATTTGATATATTTCCTAATAGGGCACATGTTACAAACGTTGTAGAAATTGAACAACAAATCTTTTTTTTAGATAAAATATTTGAAAATATCAGCTATCTTGAGTGCCTTTAGTCAGGGCTTGACCCGTGACCTTTCTCGGGTAACTGCTTATCCAACTGAGCTTTAGGCGACTTTTGAACTTCTTGAGTAACTTATTATTGCTTTTTTGCTAGCAAGTATATTTTCATTAATGGTAGGGAAGCTTCTTTGATACCTATTAATACATCAATAACCATATTTTTTATTGCTGCATTGTATGTTATTTCATTTTGAATGGGACTTGATTTATCTGAACATACTGCAATAAGAGATATATTATTAACAAATTAATGATGTAAACCAAAATCAAATATTCAGAACAAACGGGTTATTATTATAATTATATATTATTAGTATAGTTAATATTAAGATATTTTAGAGAGGCTAACTGCCAGTTGCACAAACTTCCATTTAAATTTTCATTAGTTTAAAGCGTCATTACCCATACAAATTTGTCATTAATTAGAGCTTAAACCTCAATGAATGTTTGTGCAACTGACCGTAAGTTTGTAACTTTGTTTAAGAATAATGAAAGTTTAAAAAACATATTTGTATGTTTGTATTTTCGGAAATACTGACCCGATCAAAAAAATCTTCCACCTTCGGGAAGTTACATTATAGGATATTTTTTACCAACCTATGATATAGTCGAAGTCAAAGTTGGGAAAAAAGCTAGTCCATAATGTTAGAACGTGTTTCCATAATTTGACTGAACACTTAAATTAAAAATTTAAAGATATATCGACCCCCCAAACAATAACTCGGTAATGTGCTATTATGGGGTTTATGCTGTTATGTCATATTTGTCATCTGTGGACTGGAATACACCTTAGCATTTTTTTGAGATTTTTCCTAACGATATTTCCAAATATATAATGATATACAATTTTATTGTTGGGAATTTTCAATAAAAAATATGACGTCAAAAACCCTGCTTTAGGTCTGTACAAAAAATATTTATTTTATTTTGGTAAGTTACGTTTACTGGGTTATTTTACGTTTACCTTTCATACTCCATTTATGAACAATCAGAAGATACTATAATGGTCACCCTAGAGGAAAATCAAAACAAAAGGAGAGCTAAAAAGAGCCGATAATGCTTATGAGACAGTTGCAATATTTGACTTGCAAAAAATGTTGAGTGTGCCTCAATCAGAAGTAGGCATATTCCACTACAAGTGAAAATTTTACTGTCTTTGATGCCGTTCGAAAAATAGGGTATTATTACGCATGGCACTATCAAAATACTAAGAAAAAATTGTATTGAGTGGTTACAAAAACACTATTGTTCGAAATTTCCTAGCAGTAATAATGTTATTTATCAATACCGTTTACCATAATACAAAATATTACCACAATATCTCCGTAAAAACACATTATGCACCATCCCTTCAAGAAAAAATAACGCCGTAGAAGTCCATAATGTAATGTTACGAAATATTTTATTCTACAAATTTACTGCAATAACCCCGTAAGCATTATAACTGTAATATTTTACGTTGGCATTTTAGGTATTATGATTTTTCACAAATAACTAGGTTTTGTTTGATACATCAGTGACTCCAATAGACCCACTCGTTGAAAAGATATTCGTTATAATCAGTAAATCTTTTTTCCTGTAAAATTTTCATTTTTCGGTTACCGAGTTGTTGCTTGGGGGCATCGATATGAACATTAAAGTTTTCAAAATAAAAGAGCTGATGATAATAATAATGATGGGCATTCGAATTTATATCGAATTACGTTTAAAACTATAGATATTTTTAAAGCGGTTATGTAATGTATGTATATATATGTAAGTAGAATACTATGCTAACTCTGTAATGTTTTTGGGGTAAGCACATATTTCGTGTTCTTGAAAACTCACTATGATTTCAAAGTGCTTATATTTTTCCTGGTACTTGTCGGTGTCAATTCTGCGGTACCACTCGCTAAAGTAACCTTAATAAAAATAAATCTTATTTCAATTTAGGTTTAATTCTCTTTTCAGATGTAACCAAAAAATATAATGATCTATCTATTTCTGTTTATTAAGATTTTCGTAAGAAAGTGGTATATTTGGTTGTTCTGGCTTGTGTTTTAACATGATAGGGATGACGACTGGGTAAAAAAAATGCAATTCTATTTAGTCCGTCAGTCAGATAATAGAAAAATATTAGACACGTATTTTTTTTACTTCAATTTAACAAGAATAGCTTTGATAACAGGCATTAAAGTTGAGGAGTGGGGTCTCGCTACGTCACAGTTGAGTAGAAAACGTACCATAGCGTGACGTCATGCGAAATTTCAACTCCATGTAACGCCGTAATTTTATGATTACGAAAAAAATAAAAGAATATGTGTTTAATATTTTTTAACACTACTGACGGACCAACATACAAAAATTAGTCGTCATCCCTATTGCCGCGAAATTATAAAGAACTGCAATACTATTCTGTACGAAATTCACAATCGAACTCGCCGTTAAGCACAGCACTATAGCATATTAAATTAAACCTATTTCAGAAGATAATAGAGGTACTCGGAGTAGAGTTCGAGTCTGATTTTATTGCAGAATAACAAAGCTTTATAAAAATGTTATTGTTGCCAAATCACTTTAAGGCTCTCAATGTTCAATTAACGTTGGAAATATGTAGATATTGTTTAACAAGTTACGCGGTTCTCGTACGACCAATTAAATGAAAAAGGCATGCAGTTGTACTTACTCTTAAAACCAGTTTTCGATATGTAGCTTGAAAGTTTCAATTTATTCATTTCAAAAGAACTTTGATACAAAATCATATCCATTTATCAATTTAATATCTATTTTAGAAAAACATTCCATTTTTATGTACTCAAACTTACAATTGTGTAACATCTGTGCTTAAAATCTGTGCTAACTTTATCGTGCTCTGTCACACTCTACTGTATTAAAGTTAAATTAGAGTCCACTATACCTATATCAAATGGCGAATTTCAATATTGCAGGCTAAAAGTCTCGGCGTTGATGCGATGTTCAAACAACTTTGGGCGCTACAATACAGACGGATTTCGATAACTTGATAGTTGCTTTCGGTTTGCGCTTTACAAAAAAATGTGTGTTTAATTGTAGAAACTTACAATAGGTAATCGTAAGAATAGTAGGTATCTCAACGAGTTCAAATTCGACGCGATTGTGATCGAAAATTCTTCCGAAATTGCATACCCAAGTTATGAATTCGGTCGTAGTTATACATAGTAGTGATAACGTATTTTAACGATTATTATAGGGACTCGTACCCTAAAATGAAAATTATCGTGTATGGCCAAATTTTCTTAGTCTCCTAGTTATAAGTTAGTGATCGAATTAGGTTAAATTGCTACTGCAATTTCTGTCGAGACTATATGCCGTTAAGTTTTATATTTGTGTGTCGTCTTGAAGACAAAATGTGCTGGTTCTCTGAAATCGTATTAATCAGTCGTAAATATTTTGGCAAATAAATTCATTATTATTAAAGAAAGTTACACTGCTAAAAACCTTATCTTCTATATATATAAATAAAAATGAATTTCCGTTCGTTAGTCTCGCTACAACACGAGAACGGCTGAACCGATTTGACAAATTTTAGTCTTGAAATAAGTCCTGGGAAGGTTTAAACCATGAAAAAATATAGCAAAATTGCGAGTATAATAGACTATAAACTAGTTTATAGTCTATTATATACTATATATTATGTAGATTATAAACTAATATATAATAGACTAAAAACGACAATTTGATTTTCCCATACAAACTGTTCTTAGCTGTCAAACATTCAGTTGACGATCAATATTTATGGTCGTGTATTGGTCAGTTAACGCGATATTTTTCAATATTAATATGGTTTTTATTAAGAAGTAAGTAATACGAAGTTCACCGGGTCAGCTAGTATTCAATAAAATACCTAATAAATCGCACTATGTATTTCATTGAATAGGGTTGACGACCATTTTTTGTTTGTTTTGAAGATGAAGATTATTGAAGAATATTAAATACGTATTTTTTTATTTTTTGCGTAATCAATAAATTACGGCAATACATTAAGTTGAAATATCGTATGACATCACGCTTTTGTAAATTTTCTATCAAGCTGTGACGTAGCGAGCCACCACTCCTCAATTTTAATGCCCAAGTAATTCCTTGTTTAAATTAAAGCATAAAAATATGTATTTAATATTTTACTATTATCTGACTAACGGACTAAATAGAATTTTTTTTGATCCCAATCGTCATCCCTTTTATGAGTTTTAAGCTACATAACAAAGTCAAGAGTATAAATCAAGATTCTTAATTATATAGTATTAGTATTTTGTCTTCAAAATCGCTTTTAAATAGATCTTAGTTGATCTTTGAATAAGGATGCACTTGAATTTTTATTACGTTAAAATTATTAGCATACCGTTCTAATTTAAACGTATTTCCTGGTTCTTAGGGTTCTTTCAGTATTGTAATTTTACTCGATATTCTGAAGATAACAATTCAATCCCTTACCTACAGGTTTCACTAGCAAAGTTTCCAATCTGCAAAGTCGTTAGTGGGTTTAATATTGAAAATGATATCCGGTGCTTGTTAGTTTTCAATTGTAAAATATTTGGATTTATGTTTTATTGTATTAGATATAGAGATCAAATTCCAATTACTAAACTAATTTTGAAACAATGTTCGTAGTTATCGCGATCTACGAGGAATATATGAATAGCCAAAGAGCAATTGCTTGATGCTTTCTATCTTATATTATTACTTTAACTATCAAATGTATACTAGTATTAAAAGGGGAAGATATCAATGGAGTAGTAGATAGCGAGTTCGGTATTAAGTAAAATACGGAAGTTAGGCAACTTTTTCATAGGCTGCTCCACAGAATGGGTGACCAAAAATTTATTATTTCTAACTCCTCTGTGCTTCAGAAGGTACGTTAAGCCATGAGTCTCGTTTTGACAGTTGACATTTGACAGTTTTGTCAATACGTTGCGTTACGTAGTGATGTTAGTATCTCTCTCTATGGAAGTAATCTATAAGTCGGCATAAGCACGTATTGTATACAGCCAAGTACAAATAATGAACGCAGTGCTATACAAATTAATAGAAAGCTATAAAAATCCGTTGCGTACCCGTGTGTCCGTTGCATGCGAATTTAGTGGATATTCACCTCACTGAATATTATTTGTTTATTCGAAGGGAATTAATATTTTTTACTAACAAATAACTAAATTAAATACAAATAAGGACACTAGTGATATTTTGCGACAGCTTATATGAATGAAATACCCGTGAGCTTCTTTTGTAAAAATAAATCCCCAAAATATAATAGTTACTACTGTTTTGTTAGATATTAATGCACTTACAAACAAACTATAATTTTATTACATAGGTACTAGTAACTACGTATATATATATCTTGAAACTTGAGCCGTACTAGAAAATTCATTATTATGTGTTGTAGCGAAGCAAACACTTGAGAATATGAGGGTTATTCGGGCGAACGGTAAGGAATATATTTTCACAGTAAAGTACTTTACAACGAAAACAAAAATCAGATAAGGGTTGGACCCGTTTCAAAAGGTGTCCTACATCGCATATCTGATATAACCTTTTTATTGTGATGTTGTTTAATAAAAAAAAACCTACTTGGCCGGCGAGTCGGACTCGCGAATGAAGAGTTCCGTACTGAAAATGAGTAAAAAATAACGTTTGTTATATGAGAGCGCCCGATAATATTTATTTTATTCTGTTTTTTAGTATTTGTTGTTATAGCGGCAACAGATGTACATCATTTGTGAAAATCTCAACTGTCTAACCATCACGATCCATAAGATACAGCCTGGTGACAACATAAAAAACAAGTTTTTTTTTATGGGAGCCCCCTTATACAATTATTTTATTATGGTATTTTGTATTTGTTGTTGAAGTAGCAACAGTTTCATGTGGGAAAATTCCAACTGTCACTGGTTCACGACACACAACCTGGTGACAGACTGAATGTAATAACATTGAATTCTTAGTAATATGGTTCCCGTTTTGGCCTTGGCACGGCCTGATAAAAAAAAACTTTCGGATAAATCGATGTTTGAGGAAACGTTTACTTGACTTGAATACGGCTATGATTTATGATATTACTGTATACTTGTATTTAGGTGAGATTCGGCTCCAAGCTATTGTTCATTGATGATATAAAAATTACTAAAATTGACAGAAAGACCAGCGGTATTGTTCAGACAGACCAACGGCAATGGCATTCTGTTAAATAGTATACAGACAGACGATTTGAGGACTCTCTTTTTTTAGCCTTTTTTTTAAACGAAAAACGAACCGAAACGCAATATTTCTGCCCTGGTTGGAAAAACTTGAAAATTTGGACCTTTGCCGCCCGGGCCTAAGGTTAGTCGGCATTTTTATAACATTTTTCATTAAAAATAAATTACATATCGAGACTATAATTAGGTACGCGTTTTATGCTGGCAACCTGTTATTCAACGAAGCAAGAGACATAAAATTCGACTTTATGTTATCCAATTCTAAAGGAAAGGGAAAAGAAACACAGTATCACTTCGGAAGATTTAAAGAGAAACATCAATAACATGTATTTCGAGTATGTACAACTATGTCTTAAATCAACCGTCGAAGTGGGCTGGTTAAGAATTGACTGGGTAGAATATTCCATATAAGTATTTCTTTTTTTCACCGCTTTAATATTTGCTATATAGTTCAAAAAATATCACGACTTGAACAGCCATACTCAACTAAACTGTTTTTGTTGTTAAAGTTTTACAATAATCGTAAAAATTATTAATTTCGCAAACTGTACACATTTTGGCGCATACTTCGATTGCCCCTTTATGATATAATGGATTTCATTCATAATATTACCCATGATTTATGTTTCAATTGAATACTACAATAAATTCACCTTTTTTATAGACACAGTTTTTTTATTTTTTGTGATGCCATTATTTAATGTAAACACACAGCTGACAGATTGTAAAAATCGCCCGTGGAGCAATGGTACTACATAGCAATGCGCATATTCCCGCAACAAATATGTTACTATCATATCTTTTTGATAAACTTTATATTCTGCATATTTAGAAAAAAAATGGCTAATATACCGGCGCGGAGGATCATAATCTGCACAGGCAGATCTAGATCTGTCTGTTTCAATATTTGATCCGCAACGTAATATATATACGGCGAAGCTGCCATCATGCATGCTAGTATTAAAGTATTATAGTAAGGCAGGTAACTAGAGAGTATTTAGTTATGTATTTTCGGCGAGAGGCGTTTTTTAAGTATTTATATGTTCTGTGACATTCACCCAATATGTATGTAAACAGAAAAGTCGCTTAAGAATTTAATAGTCGTCCTTACGAGTAGAACCGTATAAATTTATAAGTGAAGTTTCTACGAGCCACCTTTATTACTGTAATAATTTTAAATCGTGCTGACTCTTTAGTTTGATTTTTTATTAGCTGAATCATTTATGTTCATTGCTGTCCTTTATTTAAGGATCTGATTTAACAATAAATAGCATCCTTTTCAATTTGTATTTTGTCCATAGGGATATAAGTACCGGTTTCGTGTGATTAATGCAGAGTTCCTGAATTGTCCCATTGAACTGTCGGTGGATGGTCACAACATCACTGTAATCGCTTCTGATGGATACGACCTAGAACCAATTACAGGTAAGAATAATATATTTTATTTCAATTCAACACGAAGATATTAATATTTCTACTACTGGTTTGGAGTTAAGTTTTTCCCGTGGAATTAACACAAGGAGAACGGTAGCCCACCATGCGGGCCCATTGCTAGGGTTGCCAACTGTACTTTAAAACAGAGTATTGTACTCTATATCACGTAGGCGTATTCCATAATTTGAAATAGTAATAGAGAACGTCATTCAAAATATTATTTTTTCACACTATATTAATACTAGTACCAGTCATTCCCATATGATGAATATCATTTTTAAATATTGTTTTTAATGCCTTGATAAGGATCGTCGTCGGTTTGTAAATAGGTACTAGTTTTTAACAAACATCTTCCACTTTGGAAATAATATATGTTCTATTTCTTCTAATAAAAAAGTACTCTGTACAAATAAGAAGACTAATGATGGCAAAATCAGTCGAAAGCTTAATGGCGTATTTACAGTGGTCGTTGATATCCGCGTTCTTCGTGTGGGTTTCTGTTCTTCGCTTTCCTTGGTCGCTTATTAGTATATTGACCAATGAGTTGACCGCGGAGATGTCGCACGCACTCCACGTGCTTACTCCATCGACCATAGATGTAATTTTTACCACCAGTCCAATGTCTCATGGACAATGGTAAAAATAAAATACTATCCTTATCTATGACTTTGTGCTCGGCAATGAGATAGATAGGGATAACAAATGACGCGTCACAACTCATTTTTAAATTAATGGAATTAAAACAAATATTGCTTCCAAGTCTTCAGCAATAAAATAACTCAATTCTTTGTAAATTTTCTCTATAACAGAGTATAATTACGAAACAAAATCGAAAAATGAAGAAATAAATTATTTTTATTTTTTTCTCTCAAGTAAATTTTAGAAATACGGCTTTTAATGGGTCTTGTTTGACTTTCACAGTCAGAGATCAAACGTTACATCATCTAGCTTCGCAAGGCTACACAAAATAATATACCACTTCATTTTGTCAGTGTAATTTATGTAATTAAGAGCCTATCTATTAGGCAATAAGGTTTCTAATATTCCAAATTAATATACATAGTAAAAACGTTCTAATACATTATAATTTACTAAAACAACATTTCTTTTTATCTAAATGACTAAGGTCTGAAGGAATGCAAAATAATTAGATGTCGAATAACAATCAGGAAGAAAGGGAAATTAAATTACAGTTCACCTTTTATATATTGGTACTATGTTTAGGTATTATTATGTAAGGCTGGTTAAGCTGGGATGTCGGCGCCTTAAGCGTCTTTTAGTTGTCATTTCATTATGCAAGATCAGTCAACTGTATGTTGAGTTTATTTATTTAGGTTTGAATTTGAATTGAAGTTAATTTATAATTTTATTAATAATTTCTACCATATTAAATCTACATCTAAAACCGTTTTGCAAAGAGGAATTATTTAGTATAGAGACTGTATGTTTAATTAGCGTTTCCGATTTGCATATTCAGTTCCATATCTGAATCAACATTTCGATTTTTGTGTAAATCGGTAGTTTTTTTTAGTTTGGATTCGCTTAGTTTGGTTCAATATGTCAGGGCAGGCAAACTAGGCAGCTGCCTAGGACGCTTTTATTTGGGGGAGTGGAATGGCGTAAAATTATTTTATACTTAAATAATTTAATTTTGAACATGAGATATCCGTGGTATTCAATAGTACAAAGTTTTTAGACAAGCAGGTACCTTCAATTTTTACATTTTTTACAATTTTTACATAAAATTACACTCTTCAATTTTTTATATCTATATTAGTAGTTATCTATATTAGTAATTTGTTGTGTTTTTTTATGACCGTCTATCCAGTGTTTTGCCTGGGGCGCTAGATTCTTGTGTTTTGCCTAGGGCGCCAAGTTTCATTAAGTCTATTCTAGTATTTTTTTGTCATCATTCACTTTTGTCTCTTTTGTTTTGCTGCTGTCATGTATATGAAAGTCACCTAAATGTCTTTACATGTAAAGGCTAGCAACGTGACAATGACGGAATTGTGTAAACGCAAATAGGCCATGAATTAAAAAATAAGAAGAAGAAGTTACATGTTCAAGAGGCATGCCAGTATCTGAGTTCTTAGGGTTCACAGCAAGAATTGTAAATAATAAAATTTTTGGGTTCTCAGGCATGGTGATAGGACACGTAATTCTTGAATAGAAAAATGCATTATTTAAACGTAAAAAAAATGATAACTTCCGTAACGAATACTAATTAGAAATTAAAACTGAATGTCACGAAAATCTTAGTCTATTTCAATCATAAAAAAGGTCTTTATTTGCATTTTAGAATAATAAACATATGACTACAATAACTTCTTTTTGTTGAAAGAATACTTTAGAGCGTGTATTATGTATCTAAATAATTTCGTTTGACTGTTGATTTTAACTTAAACAACATCAATGATATTGCTTACAAGAAAAACAATTTACAAAGGTCACGTAAAATAGAAATTCTGCGAAAATCTCTATACAAAAAGACCATATCATAAGTAAACACTAAAATTAAACCACTCTCTAAGATATTAACTGAAAACGAACTCATATTGAAAACAAACATCACAAGAAAACATCTTTCAGAGGTTGTTTCTAAAGGTTTCATTCGAGAATTCCACGTTAATTAGCTGTCCTTTTCGAAACATCCAATTTGTTCCACAAGGATCTTTTATACCTATAGCACGCGCACTGTAAAGACAATAACCCTAATTAGGGACCCGAAAGATATTGTTGCAAAGTTTCTTAAGATTACGAGAATCTCGAGAGTTAATAATTATTAACAATCCAATCTTAATCATTTGAAGTTCACAATAAAACTTTAAATGGGCCACACGATTAAGGCCTTTCTGGTTTAAATGGCTTGTTATTAATTAATAATTCTTTTTATTTTATACTCTCAGTTTATAATGCTTACATTTTGTTAAAGTATTTTTCTATTTAGGGCTTTTATTATATTATTAATAAAAATAATTTGATAATATGGCATGAATACCGTAGCGGTTAGCGAATCTTAAAAAAATTCAAACTCAATTGATTCTAGGTCATAATAATATTTTGTAAATCTATAAATTATAATATTATAAAGGTTAGGTTTCTTATTTGTTTATTTGTTGGGGGGTAATCATAGGAAATACTGATCCAATGATACGAATACTTTTACTTACAGGTAATTACTTCATACACGTGTGATTTGTCATACAATTTACGTAGGCAAAGTCAGGAGAAAACAGCTACTTAATGATACATTATAATTACCATTTTCATCGAAATTCTTAATCTTTGTAAAATTGGTTTACTTTATTTTGTAAGATATATTTTTTAACATACGCGGGGGAAGTTGTTGACATAAACGAATGTAGTAGGCGTAGCATAGGTCAACAGTATAACAGGTAATAAATGTTTTCAACCATTTGTACATTGCGAGTAGAGTTCAGAATATTTTGCCATTTTATGGCATTTGTAGCAAACCGACGTGCATTCAGAGTCCATTAAAATGTCTTATTAGTTGAAAATGAAATGTGATATCGATACCAATCGAAAAGTGACATTGCCAACACAAATTATGAAATTAGGACATTCATTAGATCTTAACGTCGTCATTAAAACTTAATGAACGTATTGCAATTGACCTTTAGTAACATATATACCACTATACAATACGAATATCGATCACTCGTATAAACTGAATGCTAACCTTTCTTTCTATTTACAACTTTTTAGTGAAATATAAAATTTCTGAGGGCAAACCTAACCCTTAGAGACTTGTTTATTTAATTTCAAATCCTTGTCGGTCGGTTTTTCGCTGGAGTTTATTTGTTAACTATATAATATTCAATGTTGAAACAAAAACGGGCCGATGAGGGTTAAAGTAAACTGTTTTTTTGTGAACGCTACCAGCAGGGGTTAATGCCGAACAAAGTTTTCGACGCTTAGGGCTTTTACACGTAAGGGTTTTATCTCTGACATTTGGTTAGAAAATAAATCATTTCTTAACGATGGATATTGTAATTTTTATTACTTTATACTAATCTCATTTTGAGTACCGTATAAAAATAGTGATTTGCATATAGTAGCACGTTTTACTAAAATAGTAAGAAGTGTAATTATAGTCTTGAAGATATAAGATATCAAATATATAAATTTTTTTTTTATAATTTATGATTATACTATGCTATCAACAATATATTATTTTAATAGTTATACTTCTTTAATATGTATATTATTTATCAATTATTGATAAATAATTATGTTCTTGTGGCGTTATGCAAGTGAGTACCTTATTAATACTGAAACAACAGTAATGCAATAAAAGCTTATCACTGAAGCTCGTTAATAAGTATTGAATTGTTAGTAACCTTAAAATTTTTTCTGTCCAATCTTATACAAATCCTAATAAAGCAATTGTTTACCTATTTCAAACGATGCTTAACATCCATTAAAAAAAAGAAGAGCTTTAAGACTTTGCATCATCTTGCTTTAACAATAATAAGCAGGTTTTGCACCATCTTGCTTTAACAATTAATTATCATTTGGCAATAATACATAGCAATTAGTTAATTATTATTTGGTTGGATGGCTCTCATAACTTTAACTGTAAACTAAAACCGCCCAAGTACCGCTGGTTAAAGTTATACTTTTACTAGCCCAAGTAAGAAGATGGTGGGACGCATTTCACTGTCAAAATAAAAGTGAGCGTGACAGATATTTTGAAACCTTAACTTTAACTGCAATTATGGTGCAATCGAGACTACATTGTTGTTATTATGTTATATAAAAGAAAAATATCGTTTATCTTTACTAATATTATAGAGAGGAAAGACTTTTTTGTAAACTACTGTACTTATTTTAAAAGTGCTTTCACCTACTTAGACTACAATTTAAGCGCGCCAAGTCGCGGGAAAACAGCTATTATAGGGACACGTAGTGTACAGTTATTAATAATCTAATGATGATGAATAGTAAGGTGATGCCTAGTAATGTCCACTGCGGGGCACAGGCCTTCCTTTCCAATGGATGTAATCTAATCGAATAGGGAGAATGGGCCTTGATTCACCAAACGGGCCTAGTGCCGTTGGTGAGTATTAACTACTGCATATGCAGCCGAGACCAACTGCAGCACGTGCCTTCCGAAGTACGAAGGAGCTTGACATAGTAATTTTTCACCCATCCCATTACTGGCCTTTACGAAAGTTGCTTAACAATCGTATAACAGGCCGACGCACTTACTACTGCATCGAGCTCCTCTACATACTCAGCTTTTATTTTAACCGATCCTTTTCGAACACAGTTTAAAAATGTTAACGCTTACAACTTTCAATCTACGAAAAACCTAAAACATCATGTGTGGCTCTGATATTCCTAGTTTGTTGTGATGATGTTTTTTACTGACATCCCTTTTGTATTAATTGTTCATTGGGAACTTTATGTAAACCGTGACCTGGAAAGTATTTTTTGTTTCTCCTCGGGATATGAAATATGGAAAGGTTATATCTGATAACAAAACTTAGTTTCAACTAAATATTACCAATATTTTCTTTATCGAAATATTTAGGACGGTCGAAAAAAATGTGAAAAAATTATATTGAAATCACAAGAAAAAGACAGTATGTAAGCAATAAAAATGACAAAAGTCAAAAATTCCCTGTAAAGTATCTAAGCAGTGTTTATATAAAAAGTTAGTTTTCTTAAAATTCTCTTTGGTTTATTCAATAAATTTAGTTTGCCAAAATAATAAAGTATTTCTAAAATGAAACAACTTTTAAAAAAGTCAATAAAACTAAATACAAACTTGATGAACCATTTAAAAGAAGTTTCATTTATGGATAGTGCGCGTGAAAATATAAGAAATCAGTATAAAATCATATTTTTACTATAATTTCAGATTCTAACTCAATAGATATATGTATATTTGATAATAATTATAAAGATTTATATACATCGTTATTAGGAGTTCGCATTCCTTATCATACTCATGTAATCTGTGTATATATGTATAACAAATAAAGAATATGAATATGAACAAAATGGAACATCAAGCCGTGAAAAGGTTTCTTTGTCAGACGTCAGGATTAATATTGTACAAATTGTTTCAGCATCTTCGTTAGTGACATACGCCGGTGAGAGGTATGACTTCATATTGGATGCTAACAACGAGATAGATAACTATTGGATAAGATTCCGAGGACTCATGGACTGCGATGAAAGGTAAATAAGATATTTCTACATCAATTTATTTCGGTAAATATTTCGGTATTTAGTTATTCTACATTTAATAAATATAAAAGTTTATTAATATTTTATTTACTACTATGCTGATGAAGACTGTGTCCCTAATTTATAGGATACTTATGCTGAGCGTCATAAAAATTAGCAGAGGTATTTTCCATTGCTTCAACTACGCGAATTGAATGCCGCATGGAAGTATCAAAAGACGTAAAAGTGAATGAGGTTTTCTTGAGTACCTTGGGCTCTTTTCTCTTGAAGTTTTAAGATCAGTTTGAAATTTATATGGACAACTACTAGAAGTCACAAAATATATTAACTGAGGTCATGTTTCTAAAAATGCTTTTTAATTATTTTCAATAAATAGAAAATAGAAAAGCCCACAATATTCAGGGATTTCTATACGATAAATACCTATATAAATAAGGGTATTTTTGTTTCATATGCAGATTCACAAAAGCGAAACAAGTGGGTGTACTTCACTATGAAGGTGCTATGGATTTGGAGCCACCTGGTGATCCCACGTGGGAGGAACTGCATAATGAAGGCCTGGTAGGTTATTATTTAATGCGTTCAAGTACAATGTTAACTAAAACACTCATTCGTGAGTTCAACCGATAGGTTTTGATCAGAGTGGTAAGTGTAAGTTTTATGCTAACGCATTCACTAGTGAGCGCGTTAAGAATTTGTATGGTAATTTGTAGTTCTTGGTAGTTACCGCTAGGGGTGCTGTACCGGATTCCATACTAAAATCTTATCGCCCTCACGATCTACAGCGAACGTAAACGTCAAAAAAACTTACACTAAGCGCTCAAGTACAAAAATATATTTTCTTATATTTTGTCGAATCTTGTGACAGGTCCTTGCTTAATTAATTTTGCACTATAATGTAATATCTTTATTTATTTATTTTATACAGGGTAGGGAAGTCTGACACATTATAGTTTTTATTGTTTTACATATCTTCTTATTGCTAAATAATGTGTATTCTTGCACTTTTGCCTTTTTATTTAACATTTCTTAATGTTTATATTTTATCTATAATATTTCATTCTGATTTATTTTATCTCATTTATTACATTAATTTTGTTTTGCATACTATATATTCAACCTGACGATCAGGTGCAGTAGTTTGGTAATGGTGTATGGTGTAGAATGTCAGGAGTAAAGATAGATTGACAAAGAGTGGCAAGAATTTTTTTAGGCGGCAAACTATGCTCGGCAGTATTGAATCCGGTTTAGTTTTAAAATGTTAATAACTCTACGCACAAAACTTATATGTAGGTACTTCACACAATATGCGAACGTAGCGTCGTCCCTTTTGTTCATTTATTTAATTTTTTTGTTTATTTAAGCCGTTAACACCCATCTATTTGCAGTGGGCCACCCGCCGGAAGGGAAGGCATATGCCCCAGCTCTGGGAATATTAATATGCTGATGATAATGATTTTTTTTTCCTATCTATGAGATTGCACTTACGAACCACTTGCACAGTTTGCATTTGCGTCTTTTTGACACGTTCCAAAAGAACATTATAAATATTGCTGTTTCGATCTATTTGGTTTTGGTTACACTGTGCTATTGCTTCATTTTTGTTTTTAAATCCTATTGCGTGCGATGAGTAATGCAATTAGTCTCTGTACAAAATAAATACTTATAAAAGACTAGGTGTATTCCCGCCATTTCGTACTCGTAAATTATAGCCTATGTCAACCCCGTATGAAGTAGTTACCCGCAGGTTTATTTTATTTTAAAGTCAGTGCAGTAGTTCTAGAGACTATTACGTTACAAATCTAGGAAGTGTCTTAAATTTTTTTACTAATAATAATAAAGCTGAAGAGTTCGTTTATTTCTTGATTGAACTCTTAATCAGGAACTACTTAAAACGAACGTATAGAAATTTTTTTTTTGTGTAAAATAGTCCATTTGTTAAGAAAGGCTAAAGGCTATATATCATCATGCTATGGCTTACAGGAGTGGAGCAGCAATGAAATATGTTGCTAAAACGGGAGAATATTTTACTTTTTTAAAGCTTTTCTTGCGTGCGCTGCCATACTGTTACGCAAAAATAATGTATTACGAAATTGATCCCTTTAAAAACAGTATATCTTATATCGTATCCTGGAAAAGCACATAAAGGTATGAAAATGGGAGTGGAAGTTCGTATAGTGCATTAAATCATTACCATAGAAACCATTGTTAACAGTTCAATTTGTCATTGTAATTATATTCCATGTCATGCTTTTCTAATCCATTATTAAATCATTTAAGCCTTCTACGCAGGATCAATTAATGTTTTAATTAATTCATATCGGTAGAATCGTTGTCGTTAATATTAAATGTATATGTCGTTAATATTAAATCCATATTTAGCTCAGCTACTGATTGGTCACTAGATGACACTACTATACTTTTTAAAACGGGATTTTGATTTTGATTTTGTTAAGTTGATCTTTATTTTTTTCCTATTTTTATAAAGAAAAGTAGCTTTCGTTTACAATTTTACGATTTTTCCAATAACATAATTTTATGAGGAATTGTTAATCAGACGAAAAAATAAAATGTTACATTTAATTGTCGCTATTGATCCCTAGATAACGCTACCGTACTTTTAAAACGGGATATTGATTTTTGTCATGTTTGTTATCTTTATTTTTTCCGTTTTTTATACAGAAAAGTAGCTGTCGTTCATAAATTGAGAACATTGAAATTCTTACAAAGGAAAAGGGAAGTTCTTACAAAGAATTTAGATACTTATAAAGTCTTTGCCAGTCAGTTATTATCGATGCTAAGGTCGTTTGTGGTACAAAATAAACATGGTATAAACAGACGCCGACTCGTAACTTTTTTATTAGGAGTATCGATATTGGTGGGTTTGTAGTACGCCCTTGTGGGACTATAAAAGTACTGTGTCGTAGCGAAGCGAATATAATCAAGATGCGATAAGGTTTTGTGGCTTACGGTAGGGGATAGTGATGGAGGTAAGACCGGTTTTTTTTCTTAAAATGTTGTTAAATAAAAAAAAAATGTGAGAGAGAGTCGACAAGTCGTTAAATCGAAAGAGTATTGTTTTTATTTTGTTAAAATAGATAAAAACAAACAAAAAAATAGGTATTATTTTACTACTATTAAGACATTATGAATCCTCCCTATACGGTTTGTTTCGATTCCATCCATGGAGAACGACTGAACCCCAGTAGTGGGGACATAAATAAACTGATAATATATTTAGGATCATCAATATTTGGTAACACTTTAAAAAATAATTCTAATCCGTAATAAGAAAATGCTATTTTAACTTCATTATAACATTTTTGAGAATTTATGATAAGTAATACCAGATAAGTTCGAATGATTCGCCAACAAATAATTTTAATAAATCTACAAGAATGTGTCAAATAAACCGATTCTTTATTTTCAAGCAGAGTAGGCTCGAATGTTCGTAGGAGAACAAAATTAAGAAGTCGCTTGGAAATTTGAAAAGTATGATAAAATTTAAATTGGCACAAATATGATAGGTAGGTCCATATTTGAATGTTGACATAACAAAATCTTTTCTAATGTTATTATTGTTTCAAAACTTCCTACTACATTATTTTTAGGACTGTTGGTCTGACTTGGGACTAGTGAATTTCATTTTTCTATAAGATTGTCGATATACCATTGTGAATGCAAAATTTATAAAATATATTATTATTAATATTCATATTGTTACAAAACATTATAATCATAGTAGATCGAAACCGGTACACCACTATTATTATCTGAAACCTATATTATGAAAAACAGGCACGGGCGTAAGGCCGCTTAAATTTCATACAATATATAAGGATATTGAGTTTTGATATAATTTATGTACGTGTTTAATTTTTTTTTGTAAAGCAAATAAGTTTTATATAAATATGAATAAAAATACTATTATATAATAATAATACCTTTATGTCTCTTTTCTAACCTAAATAGGTTTAGATACATCGTTTTTACTAGTATTTTTAATAAATCTAGAGCAATTTAGATTATCAATAATTTGAAATGCTGTGGCCGAGTGGTACACACATCAGTTTCAAAGCATCACTGTCTATGAAGTCTCCGGTTCGATTCCCAGCCAGGTTTATAGGGAAGAGAAACTTTTCTTTGGGTGGTTGTAGTGCCTTCATTGATTGAGAATAACACGACGTTTTGGGATCCAAACAATGTGATTAACAGATCGCATTGCGAACATAGAGAAATATATTTAATTATTTTTAGTTTAGCATTCGAATTTCATCAGCGTGTTGCAATTATTTTAGGGTGACATAATGAGAGCGAACGTTCAAAGCGCGAGACAATAGATACAATAATTTAATTTATTATTTCAATTTCATGAAGCCACACCTGTCATATTTTGTTTACTCACGCATCATTTAATTTTATTTAACTTTGACGTTGAAAGTTGAGCAATGTTATTTACCAGAATATTCTGAAAAAAAAAAACTTTTTTACATAATGACAATTTATATTTACAAAACGAAGTATATAAATGCTACTTTTTTGATAATTACATAAATTAATATGGTGTATTAGATATCTAACAATAGTTCAAACTAATTTCTGTATTTTAATGCTATAATATTTTACTGCTGCGGAATGTTGAAGGATTGTAATAAATTATAATTTTAAGTACAAGGGTGATGTTGTATTACCTCTCACTCAACATCATCTTGGGTCAGCTCATTAACTATTATTTATGACATTTTTTATAAAGAGCAATGGGGTACCTGTTTGGCATATCCAGCTTGGCATTCATTTGAGAGACGTAGTGTGTACTGAGCGTGGCCCAAGAAATCTTTATATGTTCCATTAATAGGATTTATTAATAACTCTAAACATATAAATTAGTATACTTCAATATTGAATAAGTATTTAATAATAACTGATAAAAGTTATTGGCATTCGCTAGCGTTTCCATTTGCTTACAAAGAATTACTAAAAAAGTTAGGGACACTAACGAAACCCCATGATGTTGTCCTAGAGTTGACCGCTCGACATACTTTTATATGTTTGTTTGTTTGTTCTTCTCGATTGGGAGGCAGAGAAACATAGGCTACATTTTACTAACATCTCATACACATGAACATAATTTGTTTGATTCGTTTACGTCGCAATAAACTATTGTTACGATATTAATTATTTTTAAAGCCTCTGACCTATTAACTTTTTGCTAATACCTATGTTATACATATCCTTTTATAAAAATGACATTTATTATTCAACACTACAAAGAATTTATTGATAGATCATTAACGTAGTATGTTTAATACAATTGAAATATTTTAGCCTTTGATATACAAATGAAAATTTCAAATCATTTACATTTATCATATGTGAATAAATTTTCTAGTAATCTAGCAAAGTTAATATAATTAATTATTCGATATTTGGTTAAAAGCTTCCATTGATTTATCTGGAATTACGCTTGAAAAACAACACAAAGTATAAAAGTTAATACCTGTTTACACTTAACTCAGGAGTAGCTCAAATCTGTCGCGTAATATTGAGGAATCGCCTAAAGATATTAAGCAATGACTTTCGCTAGACATTTACGTAATATTGCGTCATGAGATTAAAACAATATGTTTATTTGGAATTTAATTATTCTGCTTAGGTAATTCGTAAGATTAGGCGTTCCTAGTTAAACTATGTATTGTTTTAGGCTAGTTAAAACGGATGTAAGTGTCGCCATTTACGTAATATTGCGTCATGAGATTAAAACAATATGTTTATTTGGAATTTAACTAATCTACTTAGGTAATTCGTGAGATTAGGCGTTCCCTAGTTAAGCTATCACTTGTTCTAGGTTAGTTAAAGGTGTACGTGTCACTTAATAATCTGTCTGCGGGCAGCCAAATATGATTTTGTATAATTGAAATTGTCAGAAATCCAATCTAATCTTTCGCGTCAAAAAAAAAATTAGTAATTGAAGTTTAGTCTTTGCTTAAGAAACCTTTTAGCAGGTCAATATTGTTGCTATAAGATACCGGATAACCACATCAGAGCGTGCCAGGTTAATTAATAAAAATGTTTGTATAAATAAAATATTTTTCAAACGATTTATGTAAAGATTCTCTTAAAATATTTGAACCGTGAAAATTTCCCATAAATATGCTTTTACAGGCTGTGTGAGTATTTAAATAGCAGGGGCGGTTATTCGTTTAATCCGGAGAGGGCCGAGCGATAGTCTGGCTGAAGGCCAAAGGCCATTATGACGCTTCGGGATAATTCCAAATCTGTGAGCTGTTTGATTTTGCGAGCTGCGTAATGCGCTCGTTAAGCTGATAACGCCGTCTTTGGTCATTACTTTTTTCGTGACGGTTTCTCCTTAAGGGGATTACATCGCGCGAATCAGTGCAGTTGAGTAGTTTGTTAAAGAACCCTTTAAAACAAGAATTATATGGTGCGTGGTCCCTAGGGAACTGTTTAGCGGTACAAATAGTAGCCTATAAGTTAATCCAGGCTTAGAATGATCTGTATACCAATTTCATCCAAGTCCGTCCAGTTGTTTTTTCGTGAAGGAGTAGCAAATATACATACATCCATCCTCTAAAACATTCGTATTTATAATATTAGTAGGATAAGGATACTAGAGGTCACAAATAAATTGTATTGTTTGAATTTATATTAACATTAAAACCGTGGTAAAAAACGTCTAAAAGTTATTTTATTTAGTTTTTTTAAAAACTTATTTCTGTGTGATTTGAAACGTTAAAGAAATTGTATTATTTCTATTAAATTTATGCAATGTAGATAATTTTAGAGTTCATTTTAGTAAGCAAACGTTGAAGGTCGTTGGCTATGGATGATGATTAGCCTTAAGCATTTTAAGACAACGCATTAAAACTGTTTTAACCATATTCTTGGCATTGGGTATTATTTGATAAGTTAACTTCCAAATTTTTTATGATATGAAAAAGTACTTTCCTCATTATGTTTAATTACATATGGTAGAAAACATTCTTAAAAATATATAAAAATTTTATTCCGTTTTTGAAACTAATGAATCCTTAGTGGTTCGCATTTTCACCAACCGTTCACCTGCTATTATTCTATCATCATCACTAGCCCTTTTTACGTCCCCATTGAAAGGGTTCAGGACTTCCTTATGGATGATTAAGGAGGATGGGCCATGACCCTCCACGCTGGCTCAGTGTGGATTGGAAGGTATTAATGACTGCCAAAGCAGCCAGGACCAACAGCTTAACGTGCCTTCCGAAGCAACGAGTACACTTCCTTGCGAAAATTGCTTAACAACAACGATCTGGGGCCGCGACGTTTATAATTGTATCTCTGAATTATATTTTTATTAATATTTATTTATTTTAATTATATATGTCGCATCATCATTACGAAGATCGTTTGATTTAGTTTCTTTTATTTTAATTGCTAGTTACTCGATTACTTAATTACTCGACTGTAAAGAGAGCGTGATCATCGATACTCTTAATTTTATTAGAATGGTGACACTGACTTTGACAGTTCGTTAATAAAAACCAAATTGCCGCCATTTTGGCAGACATTCTATTTCCAAACGCCTAGGAGTAAAGACATCAGATGACATCACGCTCATCTCGTTATATTTTCGTAAGAAAAGTGATAAAATGGAACAAATCCACGTTGGTATACACGCCTGCAGTGTTATTTTAAAGATAGTCTTCCGATATGGACGATCTATTTGGGCTTCGTAATAGCCTGTTCTGACTTCCCCCCGTTATATATATTATATTTTTATAGACGTCATAATTAACGCAGTAGCAATAAAACACATTTCGATAACATTTGGCACTTTTGTGTCAAAATATGTCTTAGTAATAGCTGATTATGTAGTATTGAATTAAATTAATGTAATCTTATAATAATAATTATATTGATTTAGGAAAACAATTACACTTTATTTTAAAATTAAGTAGCATTTGTGTTTGAATAAACCTGAGTCTATGGCTTCAGCGGTCCTCCTTTTTTATATAGTTTCATACAGTTTGCGTACAAGTGTCCAACAGTATATATCTTTGGAAATGCCTTTAGTAGGCATAGTAAGCACACCATTGACATAGAAAGATAAAATAATGATAAAAGCATGAGTGCCAGAAACACCATAAAAAGAGAGCGTTGGGAAAATTCGTTGGTAGAAAAACTTTGAACTCGAAAGTGCAAATGGAGAATGAAGTAACTGATATAAAACGTGAAAGTGGAAGTATATAGAAAACACAAGACGCTTAAATATGCCTTTAGAATCTTTATTATTTACGTGATATCGAAATATATTATTAGAAGTAATAAACGCTAACGACCTAGTGAATGAAAAGAGATATGTGCATTAAAGAAGCGAAAGATGTTTGTAAGGACCATCCATTGTGAGGCTTGATTCTCTTTGCTTACACTGCAGGGGCATCTATACTCGGATAAAGATTATAGATATTGATTAAAAATATAGTTTCTTCAGTCTATTTAAATGTTTACAGCGAATTGTTAGTATTTAATAAAGAAGCTGTCATGTGAAAGTCCATTGCACTAACTGTAGAATTACAATATTTAGCTATCTTTTTAGCCTCAACGGTTGTCAGTTACATTCAATGTTGTTCCGAGGAACCTCTATGGGTCACAAAACATGTGTAGAGTAATAGTTGATGATGGTTGCAAAAATTGTTTCATTTAAACGTGGATTTATTTGCATATCGGCGGGCGGTGAATACATATACCTCCCGTCTATTCGCAAATTAATCCATCATATTATACTGTACCGCTATGGTAGTTGCCAATATAATTATTTTTTGTTACATATTGTTAATAATTAGGATCAGAAATCATTTGGAGTTTGTCAGTAATTAATAGTCTGATCTGCTAGAAAAAACTAGCAAAATACTGTACTTACTTCATATTGATATTTTACATATTGATGGACAAATAAATATTTTTAAATCCGTAGGTCTGAGTAATTTAAATATTTGAACGCCTCATAATAAAGCTTCATACAATACTAATATGTTAATATATTCTTGTATGAATATGCTGTTTTTCTTCAATTTGTTTTAAATTTTACATCTGTAAGCTTGGCAATGTATCAAATATGGTACGTTTACTAAATACTATTTTTTTAGTATGGTTCATTATTTTTTTTAGTTACCAAATCCTTTTCTATAGATACATTCATTCAAAAAAATTTCTTGCCGAGTATAAAGTTAAACGTCTCCATTTTACACAAATACAGTTTGCTTGATTTGAACAAATATCTAAATTTTATATATATCTATTATATGACAAGCCCATGTAGAAACTTTGTAAGCGCGATGTAGATTGCACTTCAGCGCCATCTGTAACTATTACATCTTGCCTTTACTCAATCTGTTAATGCCGACTGCCGCTAGTGCTAGCTAGCTAGATATTATTGATTTAGGATTCGCCATATTACTTAGAGCTTTCCTGTTTATAATGATTAGTAACATCATTTAGAGGCTAGAAATCTAGAAATGATATAAACTTTTTGTTACAGCAATTGAATGCTCTCAACAAAGGTGAGGAAGATGATGACACTATCAGTGTTGCGGGCATGAGATCTCTGGCTGGTTACGACGAGAGTTTGAAGGAAGTACCTGACTACCGGTTCTACGTGGCTTATGATTTTTATGCGAAAAACAACACACATTACCACAGATCTCCCTATTATGGATATTACCAAGGTAGACTTATTATTTCCTGAACAATAAAAAAAAAGTATAACGTCGTTTACTTCAAATTAACAAACTTTTACCTTACCGTTTCCATTAATTAATAATTTAAGACCGAAAGCATATTAGTTTTGAATTTTAAAAAATCATCGACGATGCTCTCAATTTTCTCAATTAAAAGTTAAGTACAGTAATCTGAACAGATGGAGTCTAAAATATAAATTCATTATTTTCTTATTCATTTTTACTTGTATTTGTAATATCGTATTTATAAACTCATTTAAAAAGAAAGACAATGTAAAAAAGTAAATGTAAAATGGTGTCAGTGACTTATTTTACGTATTTCGTTTTTAACAGAATTATGCCTAATTCAGAAAAACCAGTACTATCTTCAATTGCGTTAATTTCACAACAAATTTATAATATTTTGTTGTCATATTTTACCGTACGTATAAATTTGTTGCAGTTCCAAATAAGAGCAACCGCTTATACACGCCACAACTCAATCACATCAGTATGAAAATGCCCTCGAGCCCTCTCCTCCTCTCTAGACCAACACCAGACAACTTCTGCAATAGTTCCAGCATCGACAGATCCTGTGAAGACAGCTACTGCGAGTGTCATCACGTACTCTCAGTCAAATTGAGCTCCGTGGTCGAAGTAATAATTTTGGACGAAGGAGTCACTTTCGATGCAAACCACCCTTTTCATTTACACGGACATAGTTTTAGAGTTGTTGGTATGAGAAGGCTAGCCAATGAAACGACAATTGATGACATAAAAGCTTTCGATGAAGCTGGACTTTTAAAAAGGAATCTTAAAAATGCTCCTATTAAAGATACTATTACTGTTCCTGATGGAGGTTATACTGTAATAAGATTTAAAGCGGATAATCCAGGGTATTGGCTGTTCCATTGTCATATAGAATTTCATGTGGAAGTGGGCATGGCCCTGGTATTCAAAGTCGGTGAACATAAAGACATGGTGCCTATACCAAGGAATTTCCCAACATGTGGGAGTTATATGCCTGATAATATGTTAGAAAATGAGACTACAGAAAAGCCAAAGAACGTTATTTCTATTAATCACTGGTGGCCAGTTGTTGTTATCAATAACAACAATCAAAATTCAACATCATCAGCACATCGTCCGAGTGAAATTGTTGGTATTATGACACTCTGTTGTATTTGGATCGTAAAACGTGTTTTGGGAACGTAGATTTTTTTGTCTGTTATTAGTGCAATGAATAAAGTATTATTCCAGTATTGTTTTTAATATTGTGTTAAGATATGTTCATGTTGGCGATAAAAAATTGTAATATAGAATATTTGTTTTCATTTGTCAACATGGGCTCATCTTTCCACGCAAGTATTACGAAATTGTACTTACTAAACGATTTAATATCAGAGTGGGCTAAGTTTATAAATCAATTTACACGCATTTCAGTATTGCTGTGTCCTAACTGTTAATATTTATTGGACAGTACTTACATTTATATAATTTAATTGTTTACCTGTATGTTTGTTTCATTATGTGATGACATATAACCGATGCCTTTAAGTTTTGTGTATTAAATATCAACAAGGATAAATAATTATGTATTGTGTTTTTTTTTTTTTTTCTGTGATTAGTTTTATTGTATCGCTTACCAAAAAATTGAAGTTTAATATTTTCTGGAAATGCAATATGTCGCTGATGATATGTGATATTATTAAGATAAGTTAGATTATTGTAATATTATAATATGATATAAGTTATTTTGTATCAGTAATAAGTATAATTATTGAAAGTATATGTTTGTTTTATTGTATTCTGGGTTCACAAATTGCTTTTTATTTACCACTTTGATTACACAGTTGAAACATTTTTAATTATTATATGCAAGACAATTTTCTCCTTGTATCACGCTAATTTAGACTGAATAAGAGAAAATGCTGAAATTAGATTCCAAATAAAAATAAACCCATAGTCATGTTGTCAAGTCTTACTTAGATTCTACATTGACGAAAATATTTACTCTCCTAAATATACAGATAAATGTGGGAATCCCTAGGGAAACTTAACCAATTAAGATAGCGTAAAAGGGGAGGAAGCCTAAATCAAGTCGCAAAAGAAAGGTTGAAGTAATAAATATGGTAGAAAGATGGGTGGGGCTCTTTTTTGGGGTAAATGGGAGAAAAATCGGCTGTGTTGCCACTTATCTGAGATCTTTGCTTGCTTATATTAGGGTCTTGGGCACAGTGTGACACCGCGATGTACTGTATTTGTTATTTAAATGAAATACTCTAAAAATATACTAACTTGAACAAGCTGTTTGCTATTTAGTAAATGATAAATAAAGAGTTCTTCAGGGATAATCAAAATCTATTAGAGAACTTTTTGACACAGTCTTGAATTATATTGAATTCATGTTAGTGAGTTCGCAATAACGGCAATGAATTTGCATAATATAGACGTTCTGCATTTAAAAATTCGAAGAAAGGTGGTAAAATGAATGAATTGTAAAACAAAGGCAAAATACAAAGTGTTTTCGTAGTAAATTAGTATTACCATTTAAGTACTCTCAACGAGACTACGACAACAAGAGGAATAATTTAGTCCCAAGCTAATAATAATATATTAATGTGTGAATTTATGAATTCGGAGTAATACCTACGTGCTTATAATATTTATAATCTAATTAATATTAGCACTAGAAAACAATAGACTGTTACAATGACAGTTAAAGTACAAAATCTAAGTTTTTTACTTTTAAGGCAACAAGACCTAGATTTCTCAAACTCCATCAACTGATCAGTTTAAGACTTAACTTTAAATACTCAATTCAGAAACAGGGTGTAAGTCTTATTCCCGAAGTAAAAGGTATACTAAGAACGGCTTCGTGATAACAAGATTGGTATTGGATTGGAGTGTTGGCTTCTAGGACTATTGTTATTTTGGTGTAGTGGTTACGCATCGGTGTAATATAAGGTCTATAATGTATCACGTCCCCTTTTGGATTGGTTAGTAGGTTTAGCGTTTGATGGAATTGGGTTACCTACATTGATTGCAACACTTAAGCATTACTGAATATTACACTTTAAATTACACACTTTAAAATCTGTAGCAGATTGAGAAATTCTTCCACTATAGGTATTCGTAGCTCTTTTTTACATTCATCAAGATTTTTGTTTTAATAACCCGTTGGCTGATAGTAGTAGATTTACCCGATCTTAAACGAATTTTCTCTACATCTCGCAAATAAACGTCAGATGATATTATTATTCTGACAATTCAGCGTGTACATATGTGTTCGTGTGTTTATAAATTATTTTTCCGTGTTCTGTTTTCTGATCAGGAATTCCACCTTTTATAGCGCCTTTTATACAAAGTGAACAGTGACACGCACATGTTTATTTCGTTTTCAGCTCAGACAGAACATGAAGCGCGCGATGGGTCTAGGAATTGGAATTTCCGATTAGGAAACTTGACATGGAAAACGAATGTGTGCGGTCAAGCTTAAGCGGTCTCAGGTATTGGAGATGCAGTCCAATCTAAACTCGTATTTCGCTAACTTCGCGTCTATTCTAAGTACGAGTTACCCGGAGATTTTCTAGCATCTGAGACAGTTGTATTTTGATATCATTTTCTAGAATAAAATCATTAACATAGCATTGTAAATTCCCGATTTATCAAATATAATTAACATTGAGATGTGTTAAACTATAATCAAAATTACATGGTTATTATGAAGCAGTGAACTGTTATTTCAATAAAGGATGGGAGATTTACGGAACTAATAATGACATATATATAAGTGAGTTCGAAGATGTTGATAATAATGTGATTGTTAGTTTCCGAGAAATGCCGGTAAAATAATAATAGATTCACAAGTTGATAAATGAATAGTAAAAATTGACAAACAACACAAATATCTATGCACTTAAGTTACTGAAGTTCTTGTGCTATAAAAATCTAAAACAAAGAAGTTACTGTCCCTACACAGCACAATATAGAAAACGATATAGATTGATAAGATATACAAGAGACCTTGGATATGAAAGGGTCAGTTGAATTAGAATATATGTAACAATTAAAATATTAATATTAAATAATTAAGAGATCCTTTCGAACAAAATAGAGTCGGCTTATTAAAGTTACCGCGAAAAACAATGCTAGTGTTAGAATCAAATATGAATATTTTATTTAACACTGAGGATTCCAGTGGTAAACTCAATTAAAATATAATGTATACATTGAAGAGCTCATCATATTTAGAAAAAAAATATCTCTAGATAAATTAGAAGTTTTATTAAAGTTCAAGTGCGAGTCAGACGAGCTCCCGCGTCATTAAATACGTAAAACGCAAAAAAAATATGTTTGTTTTATGGGAACCCGTTAAATCATTATTTTAATCTGTTTTTAGTATTTGTTTGACTAACATGATACATGATATTCAGCCTGGTGACAGACGGATGGACAGCGGATTTTTAGAAATAGGGTCTCTTTTTACCCTTATATAGAACCCTCTTTTTTTACACCGTGGGGTACTGACCTTAACATGCCATCGAACTGGGCGAAGGGCCGACTGACCCGGGCTCTCCCACTGCAAGGGACGGCGGTCCAGTGCAGTGGGCCTACCGTGCAAAACCCCCCGTACTACCCTCTCGCTTAGTCCGGGTACCTAGTATCTTAAAATAAGTCCCAGGTAGATCCGGACCGACATCCTTACACAAAACCCTAATAAAATGTAACCAGTATAATCGAGATAAAGAAGTTAATACATTATTATATTTACCACACATAATAAACCAAATTGATAAACTGGAAGAATATTTAAGATGCTCTCAATAATCTTTCTTTTGTATCAAGTCGGCACAGAAAATTATATTACGAAACATAATAATGAAAAACCATTAAATGCGAGTGTATCTCTATCAAAAAGCACATCAAAAGATTTAATATCGTTGGATCAGATCCAATATGATTACTTTGGGTCTCTTAAAAAAGATATTATTCAGAAATTTCCTTGCGATTATCACGACTTGGATCTAAGTTATAATGCGGTTGTACAATGGCTGGATAAGGAAGTGAGCCTAAAATATGACAATGGGCCTACGACTTCCCTTTGTGGGCATGAAAAAAAGCGGTTTCCTCTTTCCAAAGCTTCGAACTAAATGGAGAGTTACCCAATTGAATTTGATTTAATGACAATTTCCCGTAGAGGTTTGTTACCGTGCAGTTGAAATGGTGAGTTAAATTTTAATTTATTGATAATAAGAGTTACTTGAAAATAACAAGGTCAATTACAACTGAAATACTCTTGGAAATGTTATAACTTAAATTAACGAAATATACAAATGTACAAAACTTTTTCAATTTAAAATGTAAATATTATTTTAATAGTTGAATGTATAACATGGTAATTTAATTGTAATAATTATTATCAACAGTTAACAGTATATCATAATATGTTATATTATAAACGATCGTATGGTAATTTCAATAAGATAATAAACTGACGACGTTTGCTACTTAACGCAAAAAAAATCTATCTATATTTTTCTTTATGACGGATCGCTATCTGCGTCTGCATAATTGTTTTATGAATAATTCATTTATAATATAATGGATACAATTATAAATGTTTACGTATATTTCTTTTTTGTCACTTAAAAGACGCCCCCAAATTGTGTTGATCAAAGAAATTTTATTTCATGTATTAGTGTATAGTATGTATGTTTCACGTTATTTTTTGAGGATTACATTAGTGGTTATTTGTAAATATTATTATTATATTTCTAGAATTTTGCATTCACAATGCTATACTGGAAAATATTATTAATGAAAAACAAAATAATATAGCATAAAGTTTTGGTAGAATATTTGTTTGACATGTGAATGTTTTGTTGGAAGACAAATAAAACGGTCTATTCAACCTGAAAAATTGTAGACAAAAGTTCTAGTATGTCTTCAAACACAATGGAAAACGAAATCTTTTGATGATACAAAAGGTGACAATTTTTTTGTCTTCATGTTGTTGAAGAGGCGCTTTTTATTTCTCCATTTAAATGCCTCACAAATAGAAATACCAGTTGTGCTAGTAATATTTTCTTAAGTCATGTGTATATTTATCAATGACTAAATTGACGTCGGGAAATACACGCTGTCATAAATTATATAGGTGATTTTTTTTAAATCGGTCTAGTTGTTTATCTACTACTACTTGTTTTCCCGCGGCTTCGCCTGCGTAAATAATAGTCTATGTCATGCTCCTGTGTCTAACTCCCATATATGGGTGCTACATGGATAGCTAGACTTACGCCCAGATACATAAATGTTCATTACAGTTTTATGACGACTTTAAGCTCTAATTATTATAATTATTTTTTAAATTTGAACATTAGAATCTTTAATGTCATTTTTAATGGACGTTTGTGCAATGGGCAGTAACTGCAAAAAACTCTTCATCAGTATTAGTGAGTGTATCATCCGATTAAGGTTTAAATTGAGATTAGGTTACATCAAGTTACAACATAAAGGCAAATTTTTACAACCAATTTTGCATTTCATTATCGTCGTTAAAGGAAATACTTTTTAATGTTACCCATAAAGTAATCTTATAGTTCAGTTTTCTTAGACTGAAACTTGTCAAAATCGCAAAAAAAGTTGTATTTTTTAGCGAATCGTCAATTTCACATTCATATAAGATTGAAGTACAACGTTATGCAAATACACGATTTTAATACAAATCCTCAATTGCAGGTTGCCTCGGGAAGTAATTAATATCTTTTCTTTTTAAAGAATTCAATCAGTAGACTTGTTTCATGGCAACATAGCTCAAAGACATACGTTTCATTGAGTTTTAAATTACTGTTACCAACACTGTTGCTATGGCTTTAATGTAGCTTTTAGTAATAGATATAATATTTATTTTCTGTGTCGTAAACTAGGTATTATTTAAAGCAGTGAAATTATGAATAAGCATGCAAGCACAGTAATGTGATAAAAGACTTTTTTAAATAGTTTGTTTCTTGACATCTTTAATATTACAGAAAGTAAGATAAATTATGATTTTTATAATACACAGACTTCACAACGCAGATGAATAATAAAATGCCCAAATTCTGGTAATATATTTTTATATAAATTTAAAAAGAATGCTTCAACTAGAAAGGTCAAAATATTATATATATATATTTTTTGTAAAGAGATACCTGAAATCTTTGTATTTTTTTTACAAAATTATTTAATAAATATTATTTAAATATAGTTGCAAAATTCTCTGACAGAATTATATTTAAATAAATATTCAAT